AAGACATGAAGAAGATCTGAAAGACTGAGTGTTTTGTCCTTCATCCAGTTGATTTCTCGGAAAGGAAGTGGAAATATGAGCTGGACGTCTTGATTCTCTTTCCCTTCAGCCCAGTCCAGGATGAACTTCTGCACAGAGACTGTTTTTCCAATGCCAGCGACTCCCTTTGTCAGCACAGTTCTGATGGCTTTGTCTTGTCCAGGTAAAGCTCTAAAGATGTCATTGCATTTGATCGGTGTGTCCTCTGTTGCTACTCTCCTGGATTGTGTCTCAATCTGTCTCAACTCATGCGCATTACTGATCTCTCCACTCTCACTCTCTGTGATGTAGAGCTCTGTGTAGATCTCATTCAGGAGTGTTGGGTTTCCCTGCTTTGCTGTTCCCTCATACAGATACTGAAACTTCTTCATCAGATTTGATTTGAGTGTGTTATGGGCACCAGCATTTTGAGGGTCACTGGAAGATAATCAAAACATATTGTTAATGTATAAACATATAGACAAAGTTATGAGGTGCAATCCTAGCCACTATTCAATGTTCACTTAAATGGTTGTCTTTTAAAACCATGGGGAAAATGTTACTGTGATTTTTTATTTTTTATTTGCATTATACTACATCAACTGAAAATATGTTTAAACATCTGAAATCATTTGGAAGTTAGAACTAATGTTTTGAAAATATACCACATACTATTAAAAATAGTGTCAAAAAATGTAAGCCACTACCTAAGAGTTTCAAACATTTTTGAAAATCAAACATTTACAAAATCAAATTAAGAAGCAACCTATTGCAAGACAACAGATCTATTGCATGGTATGCCTTTAATGTGTTCACCACACCATTTTACCTAGAATCAAATGATATCCTGTTATCTCCAATGTGCAGTGAATCTGCCATTGATGGATTACTCTCCGTAGACACACAGCTGGGTTCCAGTGAGTCGGATCTTTTCCGCTTAATTGGTCTTAAAAGAAGAATGAAAATAATTTAGCTTTGTATTCATTCAGCTCAATAGTAAATAAACAATAATTCATTACATTTTAAAAAGTGATTTGTAATAAAAATATTAAATTGTATAAATGAACACAAACACTTAACACAATGACAATATATGATCATGTAAACAATGTTTTACAAATGAAAAGTATGTCTTAAAAACCCTTCTGTGTGCAGAACGAATTCCTCCACAGATTCAAATCTCAAGTTGACAGTTTAACAGATGAGCCCAAGCCTCCAATACTGATTCAAAAACATCACTTTTCATAAAATACTCCACACGGCTCCAGGAGGGTTAATAAATGCCTTCTGAAGCACAGAGTGGCGTTCCAGTGTATGGTATAGGACGTAGGCATAGCATAAGCTCCCGGTTCAAACAAATATAGCTGGGCAAAAAAACTCAGTCTCCTCTTGGCTTATATCGATATCCTCTGACATTTTTCTTTGCAAATTCTTGTTTTGTACTTCTAATTCAGTTAGTGGAAGCTACAGATTACGGTTTATAAAGTTTTAAATATGGATATTTTTCTTACACAATCTTTATCACGTGGCCCCCGTAGCCGTGTGGAGTATTTAATGATTGATGGATGCACTTTTTTTCGCCACCCATTCACTGCCATTATTATGCTTGGAAGAGCCAGGTCATTTTTTAATATAACTCCGACTGGATTCGTCTGAAAGAAGAAAGTCATATACACCTAGGATGGCTTGAGGGTGAGAAAATCATGGTGTAAGTTTCATTTTTGGGTGAACTATCCCTTTAATTTTAATGTGAGATTGACAATTAAGAAACAAATCACTGAGTATCTGAAATTAGTGAGGTGTGGCAAGGGGGCGTGGTCCAGCGGGGTCTACAGTGAGAGAGAGGCTGCGTCCGAATGGCATACTCAATGAGTAGGTACTTAATTTCAATAAGTAGTTACTTAACGAGCGCTAAAAGAGTACGTACTCTACAGCCAAATCTCGTTGAGTATAGCTGTGTCCCAAAGTTAAGTGCACACACTTCGAAGGGCACGGACTTCCCGATGTAGAATTAAAATAGAATAGAATGTGCTAGAGTTAGAGGGTCAAAAAGGTGAGGTGAGTTAGTACGTCACCAAAGTGAATTTACATAAACCTTATACATTTAATCGTCTTTAAGATGTATAAGGTTTATGTAAATTCACTTTGGTGACATACATGTGCTTACTGGAGCTCCGCTGTTCGCTATACATAATAAATCATGTTTTTACAGAAAAAAATCACAAATATACTGTAACGTTACTGTCTAGCATCTTACACCTTAAGCAAATCAACCATTTACTATACAGTAGCTCAATAAATATGATTTTAACACAGGGAACCGTGTTTTTGGTTTGTAATACTTACATTTGTTCGCTGTCGTTGTTTAACAGTTCGACGTATTGATGGACTCCTGGGATTGAAAAGTGTCCATCGATGAACACTTCAGAATCTGGGCTGAAGCAGGAAGCAGTACAGGGATTTCTCGCCTACTCTTTTATGAATAATGCGGTTTCGGACATACTAATCTGTTCACGTACTCTTTTTCCCTACTATATAGTAGGTAAGTAGGTATATTAGAACGCAAATTAAGTATACGTACGTCCGAGTCTTGCGAGAATTAGTGCAATTCTCGCCTACTCTTTTATGAATACAGAGGATTCAAACATACTTATTTGCTTGCCTACTGCTTTTTGCCTTCTATATAGTAGGGAAGTATGCCATTTCGGACGCAGCCACTGACAGACAGCGCAAGCGTTGAGAATTGTTGTCATGTAGTTAAAGTATTGTAAGGCCAAAAAAAAATAAAAACCATAAATTATTGTTAG